AAATAGACATTGTTATAGATTTGAATAATTTATTCATTTGATAATTAATCTACTTCCGAACTATACAAAATTTTTTTTCAGGCCGACGAGCTAGAAGGCCAAATACGCGACATTTCTGAAAGTACAGATAGAGTGACTAATGAAATATATGATACAAGGAATAAGCTTGAACAGCGAAAAGCAACTATTGAGGATCTAAGCAACGAGTACAATGACTTAAAGTCTCAACGAGATAAATTAATAGATCAGCGAAAGTTTGTATTTTTTTTTCTTTCCAGAATACGTATAATTTAAAATCAACTGCAAAATCTTTTGTCATCATTGATACGACTTATGTAATGTTTACGTACCACTAGAGAAAAGTGGAAAGAGGATGCACAATTAGAAACAAAATTGATTAATGCTCGGGAGCAATGGAAAAATTACGAAAGGGCCTTGGCTAGTTCAATGGATAAGGTATATTTAGTTCTGCTAATCAGATGTTTGTTTAGTAATATTAAAGCTGACTAAATTGATTTGTATTAAAGAAAACCAACAATGGTCTGAATTCTGTGAAACGCATCACCGAGCAATTTAGGCTTAATGGTGTTTATGGGCCACTTTATGAGTTGTTTGAATGCACAAATAATTCTATGTGGACAGCAGTTGAAGTCACCGCGGGACAAAGGTAAAATTATTTGTAATTTCACCTTTGGAAAGGCGATATTGTTTTTTATATATTTATTTTATTACCACATTATTGCAGTTTATTTCACGTAGTTGTTGATACAGACGATACAGCTACTAGAATTTTGGATGCTCTCAATCGTGAGCAAAACGGGCGTGTAACTTTTGTGCCGTTAAATCGTTTGCGAACTAAGAACTATGACTATCCTGAATCTGAAGGTTTTTTACCCATGGTCAATGTTGTCAAGTTTGATTTAACGTATACAAAAGCAATGGTACAGGTAATAAATCAATTTCATCAGGATTGTACTAGACGATTCTGGTAGCCTCTTTAATTTTATTTGAGCATTTTCTCTACGGTAAAATTACAAATAAAATAAATCGCTTGAATAGGTATTTGGTCGTACAATAATTTGCAATGACCTAGAAACTGCATCTAAGCTATCTCGTGAACATGACTTGAATGGTATTACATTGGATGGTTTGTATAGTATATTTTTAAATAGTTACTATTAAATTATTATGTATAAAAGTACTAAGCGGACAGATTTTGTAAATTTATTTAGGTGACCAAGTTGACAGAAAAGGTGCGCTTACTGGCGGATATCATGATGTTCGTCGCAGGCGTCTAGAAGCCGCGACAAATATGAAAAAATGGAGAAAAGAATACACAGATCTGGAACAGCATGCCAGAGAAGTGAAGAGTGAAATAACTCATATCCTTTTTAAATGAAATCAAATTTGCATTATTATAAGTCCACTTGTTATCCTTTACTTATTTTGCTACACGTTTAGATCAGCAAATTACGCAAAAATTGAATTTAATACAAAATGTGGAGGCTAAACGACGACAAGCTCAGGATAGCCGTGATCCTCTTATGCTCGAATTGAATTCAAAAATAAAAGAGGATGCAAATTTGAAAGAGTCAAAAATTAACAAAGTAACTTTTGAATTCAAATTGTCAATACTTTCAATGCTCTTGGAGCCGCCACTAATATAGATTTCCAACAGGAAAAATCGTTGTTGAGTCTTCAAAGCAGCATTAAGATGTTAAATGCCCAAAAGCAAGCCCATCAGGCAGAAATGAATACTGAACTGACTCAAAAATTAAATATGCAAGAGCAACAACGACTTGAGAGGTTGAATGCTGAAGTTGAGCAGTTGAGAGAAAAATTGTACAAACTGTCTACGTCACGGTCTGAGGTTTGTAAAAAATTGCATAAATTATGACAATAAGTCACATTCTTATCCTATGATATTGACTCTGTAAACTTAGCTTGAGGGACGGAAAAACATATTGGAGAATGAGTTGGATGCAAATTTGAAAAGGCGTCATGAAGAGCTATTAATTCAAATTGACAGTTTAAATGTAAGCGTGGATGATCAACTCTGCAATAGCAAAAATGAAATCGAAAGACTCATTAGTGAAATGTCTAATCGGTCGAAAGGTTAATATTTCTGTCATCTAATAGTTACGATAGTGAAATTTAATTAATATTTTGGATATATCGTAAATAGAAATCGAGATAGAGTTGCAAGATTTCTCTACAGAGCTAAGTCAGAAGACATCTGAATCTGAAAAACTAAAAGTTGGTATATTTGTAAATCGAATGTTTTGCAAGTTTTGTTACATAATTAAATTTTTTTTTATGTATTAGGCTGAGCAAAGTAATCGACAACAAAAGCTAGAACGACAGCAAAAGAATGTCGACAAGTTTCTTTCAAAAAGGAAGTTATTGTTACAAAAGAAGGATGAATGTACTAAAAATATTCGTGAGCTTGGTGCATTACCCGAAGAGGCGTTTGAAAAGTATAAAAACACAGACCCCACAAAGGTGTGTTTAAGTTTCGTAATTTAGAATGCATAATAGTGCCAATATTATCTGACTTTATTGCTATATATATATATCTATATCTATATTAGCTTTTGAAACAATTACATAAAGTGAATGAAGGTCTGAGAAAATATAGTCATGTTAATAAGAAGGCGTTTGAACAATATAACAATTTTACTAAGCAGAGAGACACTCTTACGAAAAGAAAAGAAGAATTAGATCAATCAAAAAGGGTAATTGCTATATTACACGTATATTTTTTTATAAATTTACCATTAAATTCAACTTTCAATTAGGCTATAAACGATCTAATAAATGTATTAGATCAACGAAAGGATGAGGCAATTGAACGCACATTCAAGCAGGTAGCAAAGTATTTTTCCGAGATCTTTGAAAAATTGGTACCTGCAGGACGAGGACAGTTAATTATGCAAAAAAGAAATATTAAGGTACATGTTTATAAGATTATTTGTATTTATATATAAATTTTAGTAAACTTTCATTAAATTTTATATCTAACATTTAAGGATCAGGACTATAGGGTAAAATGATTAAGAGACTATTATTTTACCTTTATTTATTTATATACCGATTTATATATATTCGTTAAATTTATATATAATGTAGGATCAAATGGAGGATATCGATGAGCGGGAGGATCGCGAAGGTGGATCCGTAGATAGCTATACTGGCGTTGCAATAAAGGTATGTATTAACTTGCCTTATCAATAATTCCAACCCTAATTTCTTACATATAAATTATTCCTATCCAATTCAAGGTCTCGTTTAACAGTAAAACAGACGAAGGTCTTCGTATGCAACAACTGTCTGGCGGACAAAAATCTTTGGTTGCACTCACTCTTATATTTGCAATACAACGATGCGACCCAGCGCCCTTTTATTTATTTGATGAGATTGATGCAGCACTTGATGCACAATATCGTACTGCTGTTGCATGTATGTAGTTATTATTTATTTTGCTTGATGACATTTGATTTGATGTCATTTTCTAAAAGATCTTTCACGTAGCAATGATCCATGAATTGAGCGAAAATGGACAGTTTATTACCACAACTTTCCGCCCAGAGATGCTTGCAAATGCCGATAAATTTTATGGAGTGACATTTTCAAATAAAGTATCACGCATAAGTGTTATTACTAAGGAGGATGCACTTAATTTTATCACACAGGTGAGAATCGCCAATTTAAATCTCGAATAATGAATGATAGTTAACTCATATTTACTTATAATTAGGAACAACCGCAATAATCAAATTTCCGGATAGTAATTGAACCTGTTTGAAAAACTATGACCGGTGGACAAGCTAATTACCTTTCGCATATTACAAATATAAAAATAGATTCTTGTCATATATGAATTTTAATATATTCCAAGTTTCTGTGCATGACTTAAAATATATAAATTTTTTTATGTTTTATTCATTGTATTTTATTTTTTTTTATTTTAAAGTTTTATTAATTCATATTTATTTAAGGAACTCAGCCCGCTTAAAAATTTTTTTTAACAATTAATTTTTAACCGTATCTAGCTGTTTAACTCAACTGGTTTTGATAATTGCCCTAGCGTTACTATAAAATCAGGTGTAGCCATTGTTTAATATTCAATTTTGCTTCAATAAGCGGAACGTATGGGCGAAAATTTTTGATGGGAATATTAAAAATTAAGTGATATAATTGAATTACATATAAAATGAGATGAATTTGCTATTTTTAAACAACGAAACACGTCACTATATCAAAATATTAACTAGCAAGGATGCAAATAATTCATGTGATTTAATTTTATCAGGTTTATAAGCATTTCATAAAAAATAACTGATTTATTTTTCAAATCAATGAAAATCGTAAAATGACAACTATAATGTATGATTGGTACTCTGGGCAATTCTCGAAGAATTGTTTATTTATGCTTTAGAAAATACCCAGTTGGTGCAAAACACACTGAAAACTGGCAAAGTTGAAATTTAAATCCCGGCAATCACAAACGATTGGATCAAATTTTATGAACTATTATTATTAACTTTTAATCATCAACTCAAAAAAAAAGATGTGGCACATAATAAAAATCCGCAAATTCCAAGAAAATTTTGCTTGCAGAAGAAACATAAACAAAAATCAATGTTGCTCATTTGCCTATGAACCTGCGAAATTTTAAGTTAGTGACACTAGGTCCTAGTTTTAATAAATATTCTAAATAATAATTTCAATCCTTAATTATAATATGTTTAACGAAAGTAATTAATACATCATGTGAAGTTACTATATACTGTATAAGAATAATTTAACGATAATACGTATTATTAATAGATAAATGGCGAGATCTTGAATTCAATTCATCAAGAAAATATTCAATGTTATTTAATCAAAAATCTTAAAATTGGTCAGAAAATACCCATATAAGATAGTTAATTGGAGTAAAATAAGGTGAATAAAAAAAACAAGTATATAGAGAGTGATTTAAATAATATAAGTTAAACATATGAATGAACCGAAATGTAAAGAAGTCATTTGAGCTAAAATAAGACTTCGGACCTTCAAGTTTATCGTTATTTGTCCGGCTTAGTTTATGATAACTAAATGTATTTTTTTATTATTTTTTTTATTTATTTAGAAAATACTTTGCAAAAAAAATTTTTTTTGGATATCACATTAGAGTCTCGTTAGAGTATTTGATTAAGCAATATTATTATGTATATAATATATATACAGTACTGTAATATATTGTTAAAAAATAATACGTATACGGTAATTAATAAAATAAATATTTTAAAATTTTAAAGCTAAGTTTAAATCTTTATATAATAAATCTTTTATATATACAAACTATATATATATTTATTAAGAATGATAAAGAAGTACGTACGTATTATTGTAAAGTTTTTGCGTATGGTGCAGGACATCTAATCACATCAAAAGATAATTGGCTTCAATCAAAGTTTAATAACTTTTTAACTAAAAATACTATTTTATAAAATCTTTCTATAATTTTCTATAATTATATTGTTTGCGAACAATATACAGTATATAGAGGTTACATTGAAATTTTGGCTAAAAAGGTTACTTTTCTACAAAAATGTTATATTCGAAAAGCGGATATTGGTTAAAAGATTACATTTAAAAGTGGATAAAAGCTTTTAATGTTATATTATTAAAAGTGGATAAAATTAGTTTTAGAAAGGTTACATTTAATTTTTTTGAAAAAAAAATTGTTATATTTGATAATTGGTTAAATTTTATTAATTATTAAAGCTTATATGTAAAGTATGGTTAATTAGCTCTAATAAAAAGTGGATAAAAATTTATATTAAAGCTAATGTAACCTCTATATATATTGTTCGGGGTCCTTTTGAGACCTAAAGAATGTACAGTAGATATAGAAAGTTTTTTAAAAAAACCTTTTTACTAAAAAATTGTTTTGGTTTAAAAACTTTAATTTTATATTAAAGTTGAAAAATTCAGCACATTATTTTATTAATAAAAATTAAAAATTCAGTGCTCGTATTATAACTTCTATATTAAAAAAATTATTTTATATATAAATTTTCAATTTTTTTTTTTTATTCAATTTTTTCTTTCTTTTAAAATTTCAGCACTATATAAATTTTAAAATTCAGCGCTATGATGTGATTAGATGTCCTGCACCATACTAATATAATTTTAGTCTGTATGATTAATTATTTTATTAAAAATTAATTGATCGCTAAGGATTCTTTTAATTGAAAATTTTGTTTAACAAGAGATGAGTTCGTATTGCGTAATTTGCACAATGATATCTTCACCTCTCGCGCGAGAAATATCCCCAAGTAATATTTTGCAAGATAAACACACTAGTAAATTATGGAATCTTACTCCTGATTTCTTTATCAAACTCATTCGTTGGGTCAATCAACTTTAATAAATGACACTAAATGGGGTTGAGTCAATAGAAACCAAGCAAACATTTTTTAATAAGTGTTTTTAAACTTAAACAAGAATAACTAATAAATGCTTAATCAAATTTAATAAAAATTTTTTAAAATTAATTCTGCAAATTTAATAAAAATTTTTTTAAAATTAATTCTGCAAATTTTTTGTAGAACCAATTTTTATTAAATTAGTTCAAGTTTTTTATTAAGTTATTCTCGTTTAAAGTTGTAAAAAATTTTTATTATAAAAAATTTGCTTGATATCTATTGATTCAACCCCAAATATTGTCAGGCTTTAAACAATACTCAAAATGAAATAATGCTCATTACATCGAGCAATCGAATTTATTAGTTGAAATCGGTAAATCTCCGATAAAGAGTGTTGTTTTATAAATTAAAATTTCATTATATTACTTACAATATGCATACTTTTGCATTGCGAGTTTTAAATTTAACTGAGTTAACTGATTAAGTATTAATTCATTCCGATTTACTCAGAGGTGGTATTAAAATATCGCCTTTACAATCCTTATTTTCACAAATATGCTCTTTCTCTTTAGCATGTGGAATAGGATGACACGTTCGTGAACAATGATGGCCACATAACAATGCCTTCTGGCATGGTTTCTAGTAAACGTAATTTTTTTTTGTTAATAAACAACCTCGGTAACTTACAAAATTTCAATTAAAAATTAATATTAAAAGTATTTACTCGGCAACCGCCATGCAGAACTAATTCTTTGAAATCTTCGGGACACTTTATCTTAGTCCGAGTTCCATGATTTACGCATTTAAGTTCTAAACATGTACCATAGGCACCAACTTAAATTATAATGCATAGGAAAACCTTGATTAATAAATGTGGCATAAAATTAAAAAGATGTACATAAAATGACAAACACCTTCTTTTGCTTTATCGATTACTGGTTTCCAGACGCTCGATTTATCAAACATTTTGCAGTCACCAAAAATGTATAGGCCGTGCAAAGCTCTAGATAACGATACAACTGCCATATCTTTAGAATCCAGAATTTTCATAGCCTTTTCACGTAATGACTCTGCCACACCAACTAAAGATAGAATGACTATCGTGTTTTCCTCATTTCTATATTCGTCAATTAATTTAACCCTAATTTTACCCAAAGTCTTTTGTACTCCATTGTCACCACGTCGCGGAGGACGAATAGTTATAACAGAATCCTGTTTAAGTTTAGGATCAAGCTTACTCCAAATTAACTGTTTTTGTGCCTTAAAAGGGGTTAAAATTGTGATTCGTTGTGGATCAAAATGATGCTCTTGTTGAAAAAGATAAAAGGCGAAATTCGCAACGAATTCGGCCTCGTATTCATTTCGTATTACCCCATTTCTGTTAACATTGTCACAACGTGCATGGCTCATAAAAAACAAATTTGATGTTATACCTGAGATAGATGGGATATTATTGGCTCGAGAATCAATGTTCAGCTTACAATTGTAAAGAACGTTCACAAGTTTATAAATTTTGGGGTGCATACGACTTTGTTGAGTTAATTCAACAGATTTTCCACCAATAAGCATCCATCGTTCAAACAATGATACGTTCCTATGACCACACTGAGCTATCACACTTCTAACATCTGGCCTAGACATATGTTTGTCACCTATTAAAATAAGATGTTCAAGCTTATCTAAGCTCAAAGTCGACATTAACTCAGCTTCCGGTATGTCTGAAGCTTCATCAACAATGCAAATTCTTGAACCTGAATTCTGAATTATTTCACGAAACGTTGGTGCATATGTCATAGTAATACCAATTATCGGAGCAAACTGAACAATTTCAGACCATCTAATCAAGCGAAGATGATCCAATTTACAGCTTATATCAAGAGCTCGCATGTGTAATTCTTTAATAGTACTATTAAAATGAGAATTGACTGCGTAATCATATTTTATCCGAATTTTTTTCCTCTCCTCCGGTGTTAAAGACCAAATATCATCCGGGATTTTAATAGTGCTCCAGAAATCAGAAAATTTGTTATTTCTATTTATGTGATCAATATTAATCTTTTTGTACCATACATCTTGCTGTTCTGGTATATCCTCGTCGATTAAATCGATGAATCGATCCTCAGTGACAAGATTTAACAAATTTTTTTCGTCTTCAGACAATATTGACACGATATCTTCATCTTCATCATCAAAATTATTGCCAAAAAGATATGATTCCTTGAGCTTATTGATCATATCTTCGCTTATATCAAATAATGGATCCAGTGAAGTTTCAGTTTCTGATATCCATTTCTTATATCTTTCCTTCAGTTCATCAGATCGCTGCAATGCTTCATTATTATCTGTTTTTTTTTCA